TAATATTTTGATGCAGAGAAAGGAAGAAGTTGAGTGACTAGGGAAATAGGGACCTGTTGTTTGCATGAAGAGGTTCATTGTGTAATTGTGGCAAAGAATGAAATAAAAGAATGATGTCTAGTATTGTAGCTGCACTGAACAATGTTGAAACTCATTCCATGGATTACCTATTACCAGCTGGTTTGGGAATACCCTACATACTTTCAGTTAATCCCATGGCACTAAACTGTGACTACAAAAAGAAGAGACAGAGGAGAGGAGAGGAGAGGAGAGGAGAGGAGAGGAGAGGAAAAGAAAAGAAAAGAAAAGAAAAGAAAAGAAAAGAAAAGAAGCAAATAAATCCCCTAAACTTGGCAATTGCACAGCTGTCCTTGTTTCATATCTCCATAGAAAGCTTTCTACTGATACCTCAAAACTGGGGTTTAATTCAACCGGAGGGAATTTCCGCACCATTCAATGGTGACAAATATTTCTCAACCACCTGAAATGCCTGCCAGTCTTTTCTTGGCACAGAAACCTCATTCCGCAGCTGGGAATTTCTCCAATACACATTAACTTACTTCCCCCTCCCTTTCCCCTCTTTCTTTGTCTGACTTACAATATTATAGGCAGATTGTTTCAACAGGCAGTTTTACATTATGGTCCTAGGTTTCTCTTATTACAAAGATAAAAGGTAACATTATGACAGCTACGGCTTATCTGACATTTGTACAATTAGCCAATTACTACTGCAGAACAGAAAGTGGTGTAGCGTGGTGTCTAAGAAGCTGCACTACAAATGAGGAAATCTGTGATCTCAATCTTGTTCCTGACATAAATACCCAAAGTAGTCTTAACCAAGCTCTCAGGTTGGAGTAAACCTGTGTTGGGACCAAGGTACAGTCAATCCATTTAACACATGTCCAGGCAGGGCTGGGAATGTAGCCTGTCCGATACCCTGAATAACTGCTGCCAGTCAGTGTGGACGATATTGAATTAGATGGACCAATGGGTTTTTTTAAACTTAAGATAAGGCAGCTTCCTATGGGCCCTTCTGGATGCCAATATATTGTGCATTCACGATAATTTGCAGTCATGATAGTACTGGGGTGGTTTGATGCATTCAAGACTATTTGCACCTGCAAAAGTTTCAGAGAGGACATACTGCTTTCATTCCCAGTCAGCACATGCCCTGTCCAGCTTCCTGCTGAAATTCTGTAATTTTTTATATCACAAACATTCCAGGAGTTTTGGTCTCGCTTTTGTTGTACAATAGTGCAAGAGTGCTCCTCCAGATGACAATGGGGCAGTAACTTTGGGGAAAGGATCACAGAACAAGGAATAAAGTGGAATGGTGTGTGGACTTTCAGTGTAAATCAACCCCAGGCATTAGGCAGGGTGAGGCCACTGCTTCAGGTGGCAGAAGCACCCCCCATTGAGTGGACACACCCACAGGTGCCCTGCCATCAGCACTGATCGGGGGTGTGATTATGTCCATTTGAGAGAGATGTCACTCCAAATGGTTGTGATCTTGCCCAACATTTGTACTGATGGCGGTGCCGCTTCTGTAATTCAGCAAAAACTGTGAAATTGATACTGAGCAGAGAAGTCCACAACTTGAGCAGCTCATATATTGCCCTATGGATCCATTCAAGTTTTTCAGTTATTCAATGGAACAATTCTAGCTAATTGTGATGAGTAATCTCCTTGAGGTTCAAAAGAGGAGAGGAGAGTAAAACCATTTGTATTTGGGTATCGCATAGCAAGAATTTACAAACAAAGTTCTGAATATTCCAGCTCTGAGCCCATCCCACTTGATCAGCAGTGCCAGAGGCTCAAAGCCATGGCATATTAACGGATATGCCAATCACAAAAAGTTACCTCTTTTGCTCTTAAACTTCATGTCCAAGCCACAGATACAGTGGTACCGTGGGTTACAAACGCTTCGGGTTACAAACGTTTCAGGTGACAAACTCTGCTAACCAGGAAGTAGTACCCCAGTTGAGAATTTTGCCCCAGGATGAGAACGGAAATCACATGCTGGCAGTGCGGCGACAGCAGGAGGTCCCATTAGTAAAAGTGGAAAAGTGTGCCTCAGGTTAAGAATGGTTTTGGGTTAAGAACGGACCTCTTGAATGAATTAAGTTCATAACCTGAGTTACCACTGTATAGGGTATTTCCAAGGCTGGGAAGTATAGTTAGAGGTCAACTCCAGTAGTCAAACCCAAAGAAGCAAGAAAAAAAGAAAAGAAATTTAAACTTCAAAGAGTGAATCTGGAATATTTAAAATGGCACAAAAATGAGGAGATAGTTCATAGTTTTAGAGTAGTTGCTGCAGCAGCACTAAGTTAAGCAGGTGGCAACCCAAAGGGAACAATGTGTAAAACAGGGGTGCAAATGTAATAAACCACAACAGCAACAACAACTATTATTGCTATTGTTGTATGCCACCCCTATCTCTGAGCAGTATGAGATTCCAGGAGTTCCAGGCACTTACACAGGGTTCATCTTTCCTTCAGAATGAGGGACAGTGGAGTCTTTAGGATATATGGTTTAATTACACATATATACAACTTGAGCCTACGATGGAGAGGATTACAGCATTAACACCCAAAGAGGGTCTTGCTTCTCCCACAGCAACAGCCTTCGATTCCCACACCTGAGAGGATCTGTAGGGATGGAGGTGTTCTTTCAAATGTTTGGTGCCTAACTTGTTTGCCTTGGATTGGGCCCAGAAATGAACTGGTAACCAGTCCACATGTTCTAAATGGAACCCAGTTTTGCAGCTGGTGGTTATGGGAGTTGGAGTTCAAAATATTTGGAGGGCACCACAGAGTCAGAAGAATGTGCTTAGGGCCCTCAAACTTCAAGTTGGTATGCCTGTTGTAGGTGCCACCTCCTGACTCAGGGTTCCTGTGCTTCTGATAGTTGTCTGACAGGAAGTTTGTTTTTACTAAGTATATATTTCCCCATTACAGTGCTCCAGGATGTCTCTTCCATCTAGTGATTATAGGTACAGAAAACCCTTTAAGGCCAGGTGTGAGACTATTATGACGACTGAACTTTCTTTGAAATATGCACCTAGTTCTCTCCTCAACCGGATGTTTGTTTTTATTTCTTGTTTGTATAAATTTTTTATATACCACTCTTTACCAAAATTGGTTCCAGGACAGTCGACAAAATTAAAATGACGATAAAAGTACCATAATAAAGCAACTACCAAATAAAAGTGGTGGTTGAGGTTTTAAATGTGTGGAATACTTTTTAAAGCCTGGGAGAATGAGAAAGGATTTGTCTGGTGCCTGAGAAAAGGAAATGTTGGTGCCAAGTGATCTTCCCTGCAGAGGATGTTCCATTGTTGGGCACATAGTCAAAGAGGGTCTTTCTCAGGGGTCGGCAAGGTTTTACCTGCCTGGGCTGGTCAAGTCCCACAGAGATCTCTCTGTGGGCTGGGTCGTGTGTGTGTGTAAGAGAGAGTGTGTGTGCACAATTTCCGGCATCTGCATCTGCACAGACACGATTTCTGACATCTGCATGTGCACAGAGGGGATTTTCGGCGCCGCAGAAGCGAGTCCCCATGCCACACTGGTTTAGCGCAACGTGTGGGGACTCACCGAGTGGGCAGCTCGGTTTGTGGGCAGGTCGTGGGCCGGTTAAACTGCCCCCATGGGCCGCAGGTTGCTGACCCTAAGTCTTTCTGGTTGCTACCTGTTTCATTTGACAAGTTGCAACAGAGAGAAGGGCCTCAGAGTGTGGGAACAATGATCTCGGTGGAACTGCACCTTTATATAGCATACTCCTCAACTGGGGGTTGGCAATTCAAGATGCTGCTAGACTGCAGGCAGATCACATAGTAACATGGATTGCATCCTGCTGTTGGAGAGTCTGTTGCTATCATTGCAGTCATGCAATATCAGTCCTATACACATTATAGCTCACACTCCAGTTTCAGATTTATTGCAAACACAATCCCCCAATCTGGCATATTAATCCTCAGTTTTTAACTCCTCAGCATGGTGCAGAGAAAATTAGACAGGCACTTACAAATCATGTCAAGGAAAATGATACTCCTGTTATTTCCACAAAAATTAAATCGGAGGTGATGAAAACAATTCTTAAAGGAATCTGCATTAAGGAGTGAAATGAAATGGGGTATGCAGGAGATAAACAAATTAGAAAAATAATGAATTACAAATTCAATTTAATCAATTCGGTTCTAAGAAAAGTGATGGCGAAACTTTGAGAGACCGTGTGCCCAAACTGCAACCCAAAATCCGCTTATTTATCGCAAAGTGCCAACATGGCAATTTAATATGGGATAATAATGATTGACTGCATGTACACATACAAAAATAAACAAACAAACAAATAAACCCAGCCAGACGTTTTGTGAGTGGCTATTATAAATTCTATAAAGATTTGCTAATTCCTCAAAGAAAACTATTTTTTCATGAAATTTTAGAGGGTGCTCCTCTAAAGACATGGAAAGATTCTAGAATTATATTTTTGTCCAAAGCTCATAAAAACCCTTGTATCTAGATTCCTATCACCCTATTTCCTTATTAAATCATGATCGCAAAACTTTTATCACCATGGATAGCTCAGCTGGTTACAGTTTGGTGTTGATAATGACAATGTTGCGTCATTGATTGATGTATAGGAAAGCTGCATATTCCTGCATTGCGGTGGGTGGGACCAGATAATCTTGATAATCTTGATCAATCTGGTTGATTCCCAGTCACCAAACTGCTGACCATATTGGAAGCGTTTTAAATATAACCAATCCATAAACAGCGCCTCTGTGAGGATAATTCAACATTCATGGTGGTAAACGCTTTGACAACAGCTATAAAATCTGTAATGAATGGGACTCTTTTCATATAGTTTCAGGGCTAAAGGCAAATTATAAGAAGTCTGAAATGTTCTGCTTTCATGTGCCTCCTTTAGAGCAAAGACAAGCCTCGGCTCATTTGGATGTTATGTTTCACCGTGAGGAAATACGTCATTTACATAAATACATTTTTTGTAGCCACAAACATGAAAAACAAACCTGTTTGAAATTCACCAGAAATCATTTAGATTACTTGAGAACTATCTAAATGATTTCTGGTGAATCTCAAACAGGTTTGTTTTTCATGTTTGTGGCTACAAAAAATGTTCTGCCCATCCATGCTTGTTCCCCACATTACCAGTATGGATTCCAGGAAAAGTAATTAGCAATTTGGCAAAGGAAACTTTGGGCCATTGTTTTTGTGAACATAAGGGAGGCGTGGGAGATCTGAGGAAGAGAGCTGGGAGCGGGCCCAAGCGCGGCTCATTGGTCAGTTGGGCCAATCCCGGGGAACACCTGTCTGAAGCCTGCTGGGATTGGCCAATTGCCAGCAGCTGGATGATCTGGCCTGCCATTTGTCAGATCACTGGCCTGGCCTGTGGCCTGGTTGCAATACCACCACCACAGAAGATGAACAGACTTAATAAATGAATGGTGTGAATGCAGTCTAACAGTGTAATTATATGTATGTGTACTCAGAAGTGAGCCCCATTTAGTACAGTAGGACTTACTCTGGGTACATTTATATAGGATTGCAGCCTGAAGGAGCAATCCCTTCTCAACAGGCAGGTGGGTTTTGCAAGCCTGATGATAGCACACCGCAGACTGACAATGGTTATTTCAATAAGTAGCAAGAGACATGTACTTTCATCTGTGCACACATGCTAATTATTTTGTTTGCAGCATGCCATATTTGCAAAGAACCAGACTGATTTAGTTTCATGACTGTTATTATGTATGGTTATACCTGGTATAACTTACTATTAAAGCAAAGGCAAAATATGCAAGTCTCTTTATCAGTTGATATGCGGAGTCTGTATATAAAAATTAGTTCACAGTGTTTCATAGAGTTCCTAGCAATCCAGAGACAGAAAGCTGTGGTCACAGGTGAGAATTTGTGATCTGTCCAATCTGTTACTGTCTGTTTCAAACAGGCTGGGACATCTCCCCCATCAATCTGACATTGTGCAATATATCCACTTATGGGTATTTGAAGGATCTGAATCTTTCCCCAACTAGGTAAGGAGTTAAAACCAGGGCACAAGACTGTGATCGCATTGAAAGTAAGCCTTATTACATTTTTTTAAATCATTGTCTTATTTTCAGACTGCACTCCTATAAACATACACACCAGGGAGTAAATGCTGTTGGACACAGTGAGACTTACTTACGACTCAGCATGCATAGGAATTGTACTGTAAAAACAGCAGAGTTAATTGATCTAATCAAAAGCATTCAAGAAATGGCATGTGGATGCCATGACTAATCACCCTTCCCAACTTACAAGTCATGAAACAATAAATCATAATTTTGCAAAAATGTTATTTAGCAAACAACTCTAAATTTTCAGTGGTTTCCAAACAGGTATTAATCAATTACTGGATGAATCATTTGGGAGATGTGTGATACTGCTTTGAAAACAAAACAACAACCCCTAACATGATGAAAGTAAAGCTCTGATCTTCAGACTGTCCTGCCAAAGCAAATCTTACTCATTTCAGGCAGTGCCAGGTATTTTGACTTCCCAAGCAAAAGGATTTCTGGATGTTCCAGCTTCCTCCCACTTCAACCAGCCCTCTGGACTTTGCAGTACCAACTATATCATTGTGAGCTTTGCCTAATTGCTTGTGCATTTTCCTTTCCCACCAAATAACTTTGAGATTCTGGAGTGCAACATTCATGTCCCGCTCTAACTGCTTAGTACCATCATCATGCCATCTTCTCTTGCTTCTGCAGCTGTCCCCACTCTTAACCAGTTGGGATTCAGGGCTTACCTAGATGGAAGCTTTCTTAATGGATGGTTTAGACCAGGCCCTGCTTGCAGGCTTCTGGTTGAGAATAGGATGCTGGACTAGGTGGGCTACTCTCCTGATCTAGCAGTGCTGTTCTTATGAATGCAAAGCTGGAAGTGAATGAAAGGCATTTCTGATGGTTCTTTGGGTCCCTTCAAACTCCTGATTCACTACAGGAGAGATGTACCAACTACCTTATTCTAATTGTGCCAGACAAGTGGCAACAATTGAGGCCTGATGGGATCAAAAACATGGCAGGGTGGGTGGGGGCAGGGGCATCCTTGGCTCTCTTGTGACTGCTGGAAAATGTGTTTCCTCCATTCGCTGCATGAGAAGCCTGTAAAGGTAAAATCTTTTTTTGGCCAATTGCAGGCCACATGTAAATTTGAAAGGCCTGATCACATGCCAGTTTGGGGCAAGTCACTCAAGGTGGACCTGAATGAAGCCTTTCCTTGTCTGGCTTCAAACAAGTCCACCTGCTTTCCATAAAAACTGATTGTGCTTTGCACTGGGCAGTGCAGTCAGCAAATGGATGTCCCTTATCCTACCCAAATTCTGGCCCTTCTTGAAGGAAATGAGCAGTTTGTTTGAAAGTATTTGCTATGGAATTATTTGGTCACCATATTCAGTGCCATGGAGGAATTTCCCTGCAGACAAAATTGGGCTTGTCTGCAATAGTCACAAATTGCTAGCAGAAAAGGGCATTGGGTTGGATCCTTAGTCTTCTCGAGTAGGTGGGTTGTAACCCCACCCCCATTTCCTCCGTCTGTGTATCAGATACCAAATTAAAAGGGTACAGGGGGAAGATTCTGTCCAGTGCGCAGACAGGGACTATCAGGTCATAGAACTCCCCAAAATGGCATCCTGGAGAGATTGCCCATACGTGGTGCTCATCATAGGGTGATCCAAAAACCCAGGATCAAGCCTGAAGCAAACAAGCTGGTTGATTCAGGATACACACCCAATGACTTTGCCAAACATACTGACGCCTGTAATCAATAAAGTTGTCACCAATTTGATCCCATTATATTAGTCCTGTTGTTATAACACCCCAATCCAACAACCCAGCCCACTGCACCTGGGAACACAATTGCTGATTTGGCTCCATCTTTCGAGATCCCATTTTGTCATCTAGACTAGCAAAGATCTGTTTGGGCATTGTCGTCAGAAAGTCTATGTAGTTTGCTGGCAGGTAGCATGTCTAAGCTCTTCACCCCCACCCACTGCCCCCCACCTTGCCAAAAGAACATTGTGCGACTCCACTGAGTTTCCAACCAATTAAGATGCTCAGGCTCACACATGTCTGCAATTGTGTAGCAACAAGAGTTCTGCTTGAATCAGAAATGTGTGCTTATGCATCTGGATGGGATTGTAGCTATCCCTGTGATTTTACCGGCAGCTTTTGAGGCTGACAGATTGAGGAAGGCGTGATTACAGCCAGCATAGGGAGCAGCAATGGATAGCATTGTGGGGCATTGCTGTTCACCTGTAGGGCATGATTGAAATTTCATGTTTCATCCTTGCAATTAGAGAAAATCAAGGACACTGTATGGTTGGTTTGTATTATCATGACCTCTTCAGGTCAAACCTTTGAATATGCCCAAGATAAATTGATGCAGTGATGGAGCTTCATGCGCATCCTGGGGGTGGGACACGCTGCCCGCAGGGGCATGGTGCATGGCCTGGGGACGTGGCGCCCAGCGCGGGCGAGGAGGGCAGCCGTGATAGCACTCTGCTGGGATCGTGCTGCCTGGGGCAGTGCGCTCCCCCCACACTCCTCTTCCTCTGCCAGTGAATTGAAGCAAAATCTTTGCACTTCAAAATGCATGGACCAAAGTTGAAAGCTCAAAATGCAGAACACTGTAGCAGAGGTACCACTGATGAATTAGATCTAACAACTTACAGTACAATCTTAACCATATCTACTCAAAAGTTAAGCCGATTGACTTCATTCTTCCAGATAAGTGGATTTAAAATTGCAGCCATAGCTGGGAATGGTGCTAAGCAAATGACAATGCAATTCTGTTCATGAGTTGCACTGGCTAGCTATGATCAAATTACAACAAACCCCATTATGTTTGCACAATTTTTTTCCAGTCAGTGTGACTCATATACCACCATACCTAGGATAGAGTTGTGGGTATGGTGAAGCAACATTTTAGCCAGATGGGTATGTTTCCTCAGTGAGAGGGATTGGTGAAACTGTCTATTTCAATTTCTCTGCCTTGTTCACCACCACTGATCAACCAAGCAGGCTACATTGCAGCTTCCTGAGAACTTGTGGTTGCCAAGCTCACTGCTCCTTTCACAAGTAATGTCTTTCCAAAGTGCTTGCTGCCACCATACAGACACCAGTAAATACCTACTGAGTGCAGTATTACTAGCACTGGTTCTACAACAGGACTCAAACCTTTATTAGGACTGCACTGTTGTCTATGGATTCCAAATTCACAGCTGATTCAACTGATATTTTTATTGTTGTTTATTTGCTTCTTTCCCAGGCTGCTTCCTTATATGTCACACCCAACCTTGTACTTTAGATCAAGCAGGCAGTGCACTAGATCTTAGCCTTGCTTTAATCTGTCAAGCCATCAAGTGATGTACAGGCTGAAGATGCACAGTTGAGGGAGCATGTGGCTTGTGAAGCTCAGTTGTGCTCATCCAGAGGCATTTATTTACTCTCTTCATTACAAAACATGCATATTGCTCCTTATAGGCATAATGAGAACTCATCACTGAATATTGCCATACTGTTTGGCATAGATGGCTCTTATAAATGTGTAGCAGGGGTCACAAGCGTGTCATCCACAGGTACCTCTGTGCTCACCAACATCCACTCCTTAAATATCCTGTTAACTCTGGCTCAATGGTACTCTTGGGTAAGCATGCAAAGCATTGCAGCCTTTTTATAATCCACACCAGTCTATCAGACAAAAATTAACACCACTGGAGCTCTTGTCTTCAAAGATTTGCACCTTGTCCCCCTAAAAAAAACCTCTTCATGAAAATTCAAGAGCATTTTAGTGCCAATTTCTCGTGATATACATATTTTTGTATGCAATTTTCCAACTCACACATTCTTGCAAATGATTTCCCCCATTATAATTCATTTTCCCCAACATAATGTACTAATATATGCATTTATGGGCGCACATTACTCTCCTATATGCATTTTTGTACACATTACAGTGGCACCTTGCGTTACAGATGCTTCAGGTTACAGATGCTTCAGGTTACAGACTCTGCTAACCCAGAAATAGTACCTCGGGTTAAGAACTTTGCTTCAGGATGAGAGCAGAAATCGGGTGGCGGCGGTGCAGCAGTAGCGGGAGGCCCCATTAGCTAAAGTGGTACTTCAGGTTAAGAACAGTTTCAGGTTAAGAATGGACCTCCAGAACAAATTAAGTTCTTAACCCGAGGTACTGCTGACTTGGCTAGACAACTGCAGTGCAAAATTCAGAGAAATGTGAATTTCAATGAATGGTTGTGCTTCATCCAATATATTGTTTTAGAATATGAGACTTATGAGGTGGGTTCACCTTTAAATGTGAACTGAATCAAATTTCTCCTCCATCCCTAAGAGAAAACAGTAAGAACAAGCAGCCTCACACTTTGCTCTTTAATTTTCTTCCCATTTCTAACATTGGTCACAATTCAGTTTTGTTTGGGAGAAAATGAAACTGCGACCTGGATCAATAGTGCCAGACCACTTCCAGCCTGTTAAAAATATAGCAAGGACAGACTGTGCATTTTGAGGGAAATGCAAAGGTGCAGAAGACTTTGGGTATCAAAACTCTCTTGTCTGCTAAGGTGCCAAATTTGAGATAAAAATAGAGGAGAAAGCCAAAGGCTATTAGCTGGAACGGAAATGCATAATAGACTGAATCATGAATTGTTCTGGGAGACAACCTCAAGAGCATGAGTGGTCCTTTTTGCACCCAATCATTTGCCTACTTAAACCACAGAGAGAGAAAAGTCACCCCATTGTTTAAAATTGCATGATCTTGTAGATGGTGCCAGAGGATGCAGCATTAGTCCTCTAGGGGATATAGTTGATTCCCTTTATGAAATTGCCATGTTGATTCTCATTGTATGCTAAAGGTAAAGGGGCCCCTGACAATTAAGTCCACCCACATACGACTCTGGAGTTGCAGTGCTCATCTTGCTTTACAGGCCGAGGGAGCTGGCGTTTGTCCGCTTCCGCAGACAGTTTTTCCGGATCATGTGGCCAGCATGGCGAAACCAGAGCAGCACACAGAAACGTCGTTTAGCTTCCCGCCAGAGCGGTACCTATTTATCTACTTGCACTGGCATGCTTTCGAACTGCTAGGTTGGTGCTGTGGGTTAAACCACTGTGCTGCTGGGGCTTGCTGATTGAAAGGTTAGCGATTCGAACAGGGTGAGCTCCCGTTGTTTGGTCCCAGCTCCTGCCAACCTAGCATTGTATGCTAATGAATGTTAATTATTAAATAAAACACTGTCAGAACAGGATTTTATTTATTTCATTTGTTTTTAAAACCCTCTAGTCTTCTGTGAGGAAATGAAGTATGGGAGGAGGCTTAAAGCAACCCAGAACTGTTGAAATGAGGCTGCTATCCTAGACTCACTTACTTGGGAGTAAGTCACATTGAACTCAGTAGGACTAAGTAGATATGTGTAGCATTGTTCTGAGCTTAGGTCCACATCATGGGAAGGGATAGTGATTTGCTATGGTGGTGCAATTTCTTTGTCATGGGTATTGATGGTGCACTATAAATTATAAATAATACTAGTACATCTAATGAGGAATGGTGTAAGTTATCAGCAACTCTTTTGACAAATCAGGTAATCTTTCTTTCCTGGTAACCCCTTATGCATAACAGGTTGTAAAATTAATCCCTTGCCTTTTGCTCTCAGATTGCATTGAAGCCCATATCACACCTGCCAACATTTCTCCAATGAAAATAGGGACATCCTATTTAATAATAATAATAATAATAATAATAATAATAATAATAATAATTTTACTATTTAGACCCTGCCCATCTAACTTGGTTGCCCCAGCCACTCTGGGCAGCTTCCAATATATATATAAAACATAACAAGACATTAAAAATAAAAATAAAAAAAAATCCTATACAGGGCTGCCTTCAGATGGCTTGGGTGGTGGATAGCTCCATACCCTCCAACATTTCGCCAATGAAAACAGGGACATCCTAAGGAAAAGCGAGACATTCCAGGATCAAATCAGAAACCAGGATGGCTTCTGTAAATCTGGGACTGTCCCTGGAAAATAGAGATAATTGGAGGGTCTGTCATATGCACTGTCAAGCTGTGTGTGTGTAGAGGCCCCCGTTTGTGTGTTCATCTTGTACCCAGCTGGCATTGCCAGCTGAGATATCCCACCCTACACCCCATGCCAGAAAATGACTTTTCTTTCTGCTATGTTTTGTCACGACTGCCTATTTTCTTTTTGCCTTTTTTGAAAAGAACATTATCTACTTAGCAGCAAAACGACTACCTTCCAAAAGGAAAATAAAACTGCTTGAAGGGGTGTGTTTCCTGATGTTAAGAGTAAGCAGGTCTCTCTCACAGCATGTATATCTACAATACCCTTAGGCCTGGCTGGCTGCAATCTGAAACAGATATACTGGAGAGTAAAGTGGGGCTTCCTTCTGAATAGGCATGCAGAGAATTGCACTCTAAGACTGTGTATACACCATGCATTCAAAACACCCTCTTAAGAAATCATGGAAACTGTAGATTTCCCCTTTCAGAGCTTAAATTTGAAACACCCTTAAGAAATTACAGTTCCCAGGTTTCTTAGGAAATATTTTTAAGAGGTTTTTTAAATGTATGGTGCAAACTTCCCAAATCTCTGTCCTGTCTTCAAGAAGTAGAGTCTTGAGGGTGGGGTGGTGATTGAGGAATTACATTTGAAATCAATATTCTATTCAAGTTTTAGGCTGTAATTCTAACCACATTTACCTGGGAGTAAGCCTGGTTGAATATAATGGGACTTGCTTCTGAGTATGCATGACTCAGATTGCAGGCTATGACATCGTGTTCTTTTCCTATACCTGTTTATCCTCATCTTCACCATTAATGAAATCCATGTTTCATTTCTTGCTGAGTGATCATGTCCATTGCAGCATGCACTCCAAGCCAAGTAAGTTACGGCAGAAAATGCAAACAAACCTGAGAAATGTTTCAAAAGCATGCCTTACACAGTCAGTGATCTGCCACACACTGAAGTCACCACTTGTCTTGTTGGTTTGTGCAATAAGCTCAATGGAGCAAGTGTATTTTGACCACATGGAGGTTAGAGTTTTTCTCATACTTCCACTATGCCCCCTAATGGAAGAAAGGTAGATAGATGAATAAACTTGACTTATTATGCTAACCATGGCCAAGTGTATGTTCATTTCATTCATCTTCTGGGTCTACCTAATAATAGCCTGTGCAATGTTGATATTAAATCATTCAACAATTCTTTACAAGCTTAGTTTTTGATTATTTTTTTCCTCCTGAAGTATGAAGTTTTGATGTGCAACTGATTATGTTGAAAGAAACAAAGTCACATACATGTTTGTAAACCATTTTTTAAAAATTAAATATCAGCAAGGGTGCAGTCCTATGCATACTTGCTTGTGAATAGGCCCCCCTTCAACTTACTGGGGTTTCTTCTGGATAGACATGTAAAGTTAACTGGACCATATATCGAAACAAAATAATAATAATAAATTCTTCCAGTAGCACTTTAGAGACCAGCTAAGTTTGTTCTTGGTATGAGCTTTCGTGTGCATGCACGCTTCTTCAGATACACTGAAACAGAAGTCACCAGACCCTTATATATAGTGAGAGGGTGGGGAGGGGTATTACTCAGAAGGGTGGTGGGAATGGGCGATTAGCTGATAGGTGTGGTAAACCAGTTGACGACTGTTAACGACTGCAATATGTCAATTGTATTCTTGTTCCCCTCCATCAAATATGTAAAATGATAACATTTTAAATGCAGTGGTACCTCAGGTTACATACGCTTCAGGTTACTCAGTCCGCTAACCCAGAAATATTACCTCAGGTTAAGAACTTTGCTTCAGGATGAGAACAGAAATCGTGCAGTGGTGGCGTGGCAGCAGCAGGAGGCCCCATTAGCTAAAGTGGTGCTTCAGGTTAAGAACAGTTTCAGGTTAAGTACGGACCTCCGGAACGAATTAAGTACTTAACCCGAGGTACCACTGTACATTATTAGTGTATCCATCTTGGAATCTTTGATGAGATACATTTAAATATTATTGCACCTCATTGGGGACTGGGCCATTGATCCAGAAGAAGCTGCTGGATCAGGCCAATGGCCCATCTAGTCCAGCATCCTGTTCACACAGTGGTCAGCCAGTTGCCTGTGGGGATAAGCATTTAAAATAATAGTAAACACACACACACACACACACACACACACACACACTTAAAGGCAGCAATGCTTCAGAATACCAGTTGCTGGAAATCAGCAAAGGGGAAGAGTCCTCTTGTGTTCAGGTTTTGCTTGAGGCAACTGGCCGGCCACTGTGTGAACAGTTTGCTGGACTAGAAGGGCCATTGGTCTGATCCAGGAGGCTCTTTTCATGTTCTTAGGTTCAATGATCCAATTCCCAATGCGGCACAATATTTTATTATTATTATTATTATTATTATTATTATTATTATTAATAATAATGATGCTGGTACATCATACCTACCGGATAACTGTGTCACTACTTATATCGTCTAAGTTGCATAGGACATATGCATCACAGTTCGACTTTCTTGTTATTGTTGTTCCTCTTATCGCCCGATGCCTCCCGGTGTCCCTCTCCCTCTCTCTGCGTCAGGAAGCGCGGAGCGCAATTAACGAAGCGCGTCAGTTTCACTCCGGAGAAGGGGAGGGAGGCGAGGAAGGAGGAGCGGGCGAGTGGGTGGGTGGGTGGGTGTTTCATTAAAAGACAGTGGCTGTTATGCGTTTATGACATCAGCCCCCTCGCTTATATACTTAGGGAATGACCCAGAGCTCCCTTTATGGTCCAGACCTTCTGAAATCAGCTCAAGGCAGTAGGAAAGCCGAAGACCTCTCAACTCTCTCTCTCTCCCCCCTCTCTCTTTCTCTCTTTTCCGTGCGTTTCCCTCCCTCTCTCCGCGTGTGTGTCTCCCTCTCTCGCTCACACAGCTTGTCCTTTCTTTGTACGGACTTTACTTTCTAGAGGGAAAGAAGCATGGCAAAACTGAGGATGCAGCTAGTGTGCGCGATGCTCCTGGCGCTCGCCTCATGGAGCCTGTGCTCAGGTAAGTCCCGTTACTGCAGCCTCTCTCTGCAGGGCGAACGGCAAGGGGCGCCTCTTTTCGGGCTTGCCTCCCTCTCTGGCGAGGAGGAGGACGCGGGGCGATTTTATGCTAAGCTGGGAGAGCCGCATGCAGGGGAGTCTGCGTTGCGAAATGCCTAGTCAATCGCGAAATACTTGGTCAGTTTCAAAGATTGGGCGCTCAACAGGGCGGATGCTGTGGTGGAGCCGCTCTCAGGAGGCGTCTAAACTCGGAGATTTATTGCAGTGTGCGTGTGCGCGCAAGACTAACACACAACTTTCAAGGGAGCGTCTGCGTGTGATTGCCAACGCGCGCGCGCTTCTCCTCTCTGCATCTGCTAAAAAAACCGGACCAAATGTACCAAAATAGTTCACTATAAGCTATCTTGATACAGTTGGCCACATCGAGGAAGATTCGTTCTAGGACTCTGAAAACAGATGAACCACACCTGAAAACGAATGAAAAATTCCTATGGCTTAATCCAGGCTTGGATAGGCTTGCGGTGCGCTCAGCCCTACACATGGAGAAAGAAGGTGATTCTAGGTCAAAACTGAAAGAAGACCGTTTAATGTGAAACAAACAGTAGATCCATTTTGAAGACAGGCAACTCGGCTCTGGTCCTCAGGTGTACTGTACGTTTGCTGGCTAGTTTTAGGGCAGGTCACCTTTTTAACCTGTAATTCAGTTCTTTTTTGGTAAAATACAATGAGGAAAGTAATCTCATAGGCTGTTGTGAGAACGAGGGTGCTTTCAGATGGGCACTTAATATTGTTAATGGGTTGTTCAAATATAAAAGGGTTATTGTCAACAGGTGGTGCACATATGTGTGTGTGTGTACGCACACAGTGCTATTTTTCTTGAAAAAGAGGTTCACTATGAAAACCTCCCTCGTTCTCTTCGAATGGCAATGGCGCCCACCTGAGAGGTGCCAGAACTGAGTTCCCTGCATTTTCCCCAGAAAAAGCAAATCCTGATTAAGTGAGGTGGAGGTCGAATTGGGCTGGCATTTTGATGCCTTGACATCTTATGGATGCTGTGAAAAGCATGCATACCCAGGACACACCCATCCATAACCATCTCCTATCTGAAAGTACCCTGAATGGGATAAGAATGTACAGTTACTTGATTTGGCTCATAAGGTGAGGAATGGCTGCAAAGTAAAAGAGAAGGTTCTTTCTGAAACTTTGGGCAAGATTTCCTGAAAGGGCAAACTGCATCTTTCCAGTCTGTCCATAGCTGAAACTCATCAATGACATGGTTGATTTCACATGAATTTAAAGGATCAGAAATAACTTTTCTCAATGAAAATGCGGGTTTAAATAAATGTAGCAGCAGATCACCATAAAGATATAAAGAAAACATAGGGATATTTAATGCAAATATACTGCTTTAAATCAACTCTCCTCACCTCCCAAGAATTATCTTTTAGTAACTTGTACTTTGGAATATCATTTCCCATAATGAAAAAAGCTGCAGTGTGCATAATGCAAAATAGTCTGATATTCCTATGATACACAGAGAGATATAAACTAGGGTAAACCAAGTTCAAATCAAATGTACATGTGTTTCATGACTATTCATGAAATATTTCATGGAGTAAAGATGTATTTTGTATTCAGCTGCTTCATTTAGAGTTCAAAACTGTATGATACATGGTTCAAGACTAGAGCAAAAGTATTCCCAATCTCATTTAAAATGCTTATGCCTTAAACCTTTGTAGATGTGGATGTAGTGAAGTAGCAACCCAGAATCCAGTGCAGTTACAATGAAGGAATTCTTTTTTTAAATCAGTGAGGTTTAAAGTTAAACAACACTTCAATTTTTGTGTCATGCTGAACCCTATGAATCTTACTTTCATAAACAGTGTTTAGGGGAGCACCTAACAGCTCTCTCTCTTTTTAAAATCAGTTTTTATCTCCCTTTTTATCAGTATATTGCATTTTCCTACCAGAAGAAATGTCAAAAGTACATAAACCATTGTTTAAGAGCTTTACAGATATGGGGTACTGTAATAGCCCAGTTGATAACATGGATACTTTGATATAAACTGTTCTCATCCCAGTGTCAGAAACAGCGCTTTCTCAACTTTTTTATTTTTTAAAAATAAATTCTCTGTTACCAATTGTGCTGTTAAGTGTTAAGAAAGTTGTTTTGAGAAAAGTGGTATTTAGATCTACTTAAAACAGCAGGAGCTGTTTTCTTCAATGGCACAGCACTTCTCTTTTGCAAATGTTCTATTGCAATCCGCTGTTATTATAAAGCCAAGGGAACACTTATGCAAATATTCCATATTTCAATTTGAGAACATTGCTATTCCTTGTACTTGATCATCTGAAGCACAATCTAGTGATAAGTACTTTTAAATCCCACTGGATTCCAATGGGAAGTGCAAGCACTTGCCAAAAAGCTTTCATTAAAACCAGTGCAGTGCCTTAAGTTTGACAGAATCATACCAGTGATATCCATAGACAGTCCATAGAACATTGAATGATTGCCATTGAACTCACTGAGCTTTTAATCTGAATACTTAGATTTACATATTTATAGTTAGAACTGGACAATAAATGAAGTGGAACACAGCAGGGTAGCAAATACTACTACCATTCGTCTCTTTAACCCTTAGGACTCTAAGTTTCAAAATCTGTTTGTGATTTCATGGAATTGAAACAGGATACTTTTCATACAGATTATAGTAGCGGTTCTCAAGTGTAACTATCATTTTCAGTTGTCATTAGCATCATTATTCTAATGTGCACATCCCTGAATTGTTTTTACTTATTCTGGAGATATACAGTGGTACCTCGGGTTACATACGATTCAGGTTACATACGCTTCAGGTTACAGACTCTGCTAACCCAGAAATATTACCTTGGGTTAAGAACTTTGCTTCAGGATGAGAACAGAAATCGGGCGGCGGTGGCGTGGCAGCAGCGGGAGGCCCCATTAGCTAAAGTGGTGCTTCAGGTTAAGAACAGTTTCAGGTTAAGAACGGACCTCCAGAACGAATTAAGTACGTAACCAGAGGTACCACTGTATGTGCATAGTATTACTTTTGCCTAGATATTTTCCCAGATCTTCCACAGTTCACCCATAATTTTTTTGAAGGATTGTTTTTCCTTACAGGAAGATGCACACTAATACTGTTTTTTAAATTCACTCACATGCCTATATACTCACATGTGAGAGCCAGTGGGGTATAGTGGTTAAGAGTGGTAGACTTGTAATCTGGTGAACTGGGTTCGCGTCCCTGGTCCTCCACATGCAGCTGCTGGGTGACCTTGGGCTAGTCACACTTCTTTGAAGTCTCTCAGCCCCACTCACCACACAGAGTGTTTGTTGTGGGGGAGGAAGGGAAAGGAGATTGTTAGCCGTTTTGAGACTCCTTAGGTTAATGATAAAGCGGGATATCAAATCCAAACTCTTTTTCTTCTTCTTCTTCTCCTCCTCCTCCTCCCTACCCCAATGTTCTTTGTTATTATACACCAAGTTGTCCAGATTCCTTCACTACAATATAACTGCCTACTTTGGGCAGCATTCTTTTAGCAATATCATTTCTCATATGATTTGTATTGCAATCTAGCTCCATTAGAGATGATGAAAAAAATGTTGATTTTAAGCAGATGTGGCTTGCACCTATAAGTTGGCATCTGTCTGCCACTTATAATTTATACCATAGACCTATTAATAACACTATTCCAAACATACTGTGTTCATGGTGTGAACTTAATACTGTAATAGATATGATCAACAGATTATTCTGTTTAAATTTTACTAGGTTAAATCACTATGAGTATTATTGGGTGGTTCCAACCAAATTATTAGTTTTAAGAAGTCTATTTCATTGTTGTTTTCAGCTACTGGTGCCCTTGGAAAAACCCTGTGGCAACATAATACTCCTTAAGTATCTTCATACATGTTTGTATCTTGGCCCCCAGTCCCAGTTATGACTTAAAACAATTAATGATTAAATTTTATTGCTATCAATGGCACAGTGAACTTGATCTTATTCATATTTATTTAGAGAGAAGTCCCAGTACTTTCAATGAAACTCAGTCTCAATAATTGTGCATAGGGTTGCAGCCTTAGCCACAGCAAACCATAGCTGCAGTGGGGCCAAATGAACTTAGTTGCTCTTCTCCTTCCTCTCTTGGAATGCAATAATTTTCCCGCTGCAATTCAGTGTTCAAATAAATTACTTCTTCTTCATGGATCGGTCCTCCAGACTTATCCTTCCCTTGGGGAAAAGGGGGAGGGGGGAGAACTTCAAGACATTCTAGTATAGGGGTTGGCAGAAAACTCTAAACCCCATTGGAACCATAAATCTCTTACTGTTTTAGTCACGTGGATCCATACATACAAACTTACTGAATATGGAATGTTTACTGTGAAAAGTGTCCTTTCTGCCAAAAAGAGGTTTAATGCTATTTGACCTCTTGGATTTAAATATTTTCAGGATGTGCCTCTGGGTAAATGTAGTAGGAACTTAAAATAATTAAGTCATTAAATCTACCCCCCCATCCCAAAGAATCAATGGGTTCTGAGCCCTAAAATGGTGGTGGAGCCCTAAAATGTTGCAGTGGACCAATAATAAGCTGCTTTCATGACTGAGCTGCACTTTTCCAGAGAGAGAGACTGCATAAATCAGGGAATGTGTATTAAAGAACAAACCACTTGCCAAGCATTTATTTTAGCCAGTGCTTAACCCTAAAATCCCTTTAAAGGATATTCCTAAATCCTATGTGTTGAAACCCAAATGCTAGTGATTTATAATGAAATAGCAAACATATGTTTCTGATTAACTCGCAGATTCAGAAGAGGAAATGAAAGCCTTAGAAGCTGATTTATTGACCAATATGTATACATCAAAGGTAATGTTTTTCCCCTTTTTGCCACAGAAGGCATGAATTCTCAAACATATTTGTTTTAGCATACAATCATAAAACCACAGTTTTACAATATTCTATACAAGGTACTGTGCAAAAATTCTCTTCAATTTCAAAGACAGTAGAAAACCAAAATGTATGGGTGAAGGGATAGTGAAAAATTGATGTTTTCTCAGCTGAACTGTTGATACACGTACTGAACAGCCAGCATGGAATTACGGACTGAGGTACATTTATTTGAGGAAGATATATTCCTGGGCAGAATATACCTGATGAAAGTTAAGGTAACATAAAATCAAATAATGATGTAACTTTTGAAAAGGTGTGCAATTAGCATATCAAGCCAGTGAAAATCCATCCCAAGAACTGCTAGTTTTATCCATTTTTAGTGAACCACAAATTGATAGAAAAATTACTTCCATGGCATGAAATCAGTGAATGATGGTTCCTTCATTTTGAGGATATTGTATCCTTCATGTTTGGTCTCAAATGGATGGCCTCAGGATCCCACAGGTGACATATCAAAATGTGGAACATATGGTTTGACAGGCAGGTAGCCAAAGAAAGGGTACCCAAGTAATATCTCCTTAATGTAAGTGAATAGTTAATGCTTTGCCATCAAAAGATTTATTGCTCGGGTTAAAAGCAGGATCCTTGAGACACAAATGGTTATCCCCCCACTCCGAAAGAAAATTTAATCTAAATTTTCATCTAAATTTTGGCAAGCTATAGTCAGTATTACCATTTTCCAAGTCTTTCACCTGAAATCCATATGATCAGGACCTTTGTCTTTGCTAGATCAGGTGATTGCAGTCTTGTGGCCTTCGTAGAAATAGCATTTGTGCTGCTATTACTAATTGCTCTAAAAGAGTTCTATAATATAATTGGGGGGGGGGAGATTCTCTCTCTCTCTCTCTCTCTCTCTCTCACACACACACACACACACACACACAAGCCACAGGGTTGTGTTTTCTTAGGATGATGCCTCAATAAAATACTTTTTCTTGGTTAAACTGGGTGATACCTTGGAGGAAAATTTAGACTAATCCTTACTGGAAGACATGATCAAAGCCACCAAAAGGCAATATACACTCTCACCTATGGCTAGAAGAGTCTTCACACTGAAGTGAAGCATAGACCTTGTAAACCAGGAGATGGGAGCCTGTGGTCCTCCAAATGTTTTTAGACTAGAACTCCCATCATGCCTTATTATTGGCCATGCTGGTTGTGATTAACATTAGTTGGAGGCCACAGGCTCCCCAGCTCAGTTATAAGTGGTTGCTGAGGCATTAACAGCTGCCCTAAATTACCTAAGAACCAAAGAACCTATCTGACACAAAAATGAGCAAATTGGTTTCAACAAAAAGAGATGCAAATGTAAACTGAAGTTGTGTGGACCCATAAAGACAAACAGATTTATTGTGGCATAAACTTCCATGGGCGGCTCTAGTCATTAAGCTTAGTCTTCAAGGTGACTCATGACTTTTTGTGTGCGTTTGCTACAGCAGACTAACTCCGCTAACCCCCTTTCGGATTTATAACAAAGGGAATTGCTGGCACTTTTTAATTTAGATATTTGAAAGTAGAATGACAAATGCATCATTACTTCTGATGTACATGCTTTTTCCTTCCCCGGGCCACCACCGCCTACTGTCACCTCAAACAGGTTTTTGAAGGCCAACCTCTCCAAAGCCTGTTTAACATAAATGATGGTGGGCTGAACTCTGGCACTCTGACAACTATGGATCTAACAATCTACCAACAGCTATCTGAAATAGCAATCATCTAATAATCTTCCCCCACCCTCTTTTACTCTGATAAAATACGTGGATAGCACATTGGTAAAGCATACCAGAGGATGGCATTAATGAGGCAAACCTTTTCTTCTGGTTTGTGTGATATCCTTTGGGATGAATTATCATGGCTAGGTTCACAACCCATCCAATGGCCTTAAACTGAACAGCATAAAGGGATGAAGAGAAACAAACATGAAAGAAAACTGAGTTCTACAAACCTCAGGACTGAACAACAAAGTACCCAACTGCCATGCTGTCTCGATTTTGAACATTTAAAAAAAATAATTCAGAAATGTTACATTTATTTCTGGCAGGGTGCATGCACTTTCATGAATGCTTTATTTCTTTTTCTTTTTTCCTCTTTTTAAATTCGTGTTCTCCTGTGATGAAACGATTCCATGGACAGGGTTTTTCTTATGTTTTGAAAGCCAGATCTCTTGTATGCATTGTTCACATTGCAAATCTTCTGCACTTCAGCAAATTGCTCCACAACTCTTGAAAACTTCACACCGTGATTCTCTTTAGGGCTTCTCTAGACGATGTGTTTATTGAACATTCTTCCCAGTTTGCTAGTGCAAAGCATATGCAGAGGTTAAATTATGGTCTCCCATTCAGAGCTTTCATCCTGCTTTGCGTGTGGGCTGTTCATATGTCTTTTCATTAATCATTAATTCATCACACACTGTCCAGTGCAATTCATTTTTGCTCTCCTAACTTCAAAAAGTAGTTTGGTTATATTTATTTATTTATTTTTAATTTTGTTGAGCAACATAGCCCATTCAATCCACTTCAATTGAGGAAGCCTAAATCTCTGGTATGCCCATGAATCCCTCCCACAAAATAGTTACTTTCTGGAGGTACCATTATTTTTCATTCATTCATTTTCATGGGGAGCCTGCTTGTCCCTCCAGATGTTGTTGGGCTCCAACTCCTATCAGCCATAGAAAGAAGGTCCAAGGATCAAGGACAATAGGAGTTCTAGACCAGTAATCTGGAGGGCAGTAAACCCATAAGAATAGCCTGCTGGAGCAAGACAATGATCCTGCAAGGCCTCTCCTCTTCCCAGAGGGGAGGGGTTGTGAGTGGGAGCAGCTTCCCGCAGCAGCAGGGAGGCGTATTCGGCTCCCTGCTTCTGATTTGCCCCGCTGCCGCGACCAAGCCCTTCAGCTGGCCAATAGGGCTGGCTGGTGGGTGGGGTTAGCTGCATTTAAGCAGCCGTGGCAGCGCTCTGTCCCCAGTCTATTCCTGCTTGCATCTCCCGCCCTCCTTCCCTTTAGGTCAGTTTCCTCTGTGTATTGACCTTGCTATGGACTTCGGTTGGTTGCCTTGGTTGCCCAAAGGACCTGGTAGACTTTTTTTATCCATTTAGCAAATTGGCACCAGCCTCTTGGTTTTTTCACCTACCTCATAGCAACTTGTCACAACTTTCTGGTATTTGTGGTTAGGCATTGGAATATGTGTACTGTGTTGGAGGATTGGGCATGTCCATCATCTACCCCTCCTCTTTTGGGTATTCCATTAAAGGAATCCGGCGGTCATGGATCCTGTCAGATGCCCTGCTGGTGGCACAACCCCCGGTGACATCATGGGGAAGCTTCCAGTTGTATTTGCATCAACAAGCTCCTCCCACTGGTTGTTAACCCTGAAATGACTCCCTGCTGAGCGGGGTGGAGTCATGTATTGCTGTTTTATCCAATGCCTAAGCCAATACTACTCACATGATGTAACCAATAAAGATGTGGCCTTATTTTGCCCATTAACCAAAAATAATGTGTCTTTGTTTCTCAATAAAAAAATATCATTTAGATGAAATCCTAAACAATCTTTCAGAAGACCGGGCTTTGCCACTTTTTTGTTTTGCTTCCTGGACCCATCTGTTATTGCATCCCGGTAATTAAGTTGTCAAACGATCCTGCAAGGCTTGGACAGGTTCAGTTCCAAAGTAACCTTGCTTCAAAATGTCTTTCTTAATTAATTAAAATTGTCACTTCATGGGTAAAAGAAATTCAGGGAGGTCTTGACTGCAATTTCAAAACAAAACTTTGATAAATTTAATATTGGTGGGATGAAAAGGCTCAGTTTGTAGGATGTGTAGATCACAGAGTGGGTGCAGTCAGGCTGTCAGAAGCCATGGATCATTTTAGAGGGGATCATTGTCTTAAAAGAGGCACTACTGGATCTTAGAAAGAATCCTGAATATGTGGATTTAATCACATAATGTAGTTCAGTTATCCATTGTGGATATTGTGATGACAAAAATAATAGATTAAATAAACACAAGCTTTTTGTGATACTATATAGAAAACACACTCATTTATGTCTGCTAGCAAGTTTCATTTTTTTAAAAAAATGATATTTATTGAAAAAAGATTTTTTTTTAAATTACAAAGAAAAAAGACAAAACAGAAAAATAAAAATAAAAAATAAAACCATCATTTTCAAATTCTCCACTTTCATTACCTTCTTTCTATGACCTCCTCCTCCTCCCTTTTCTTGTATCTTGATTAATAGTTGTCACAGCAAATCCTTTCCCTAATTCATAGTATTCTGTCATTACATTACCTTACTCTATTTTCATCTTATCTTATAAAAAACCTTAAAGCTTAAGACTTAAATCTCATTTTTAGCAACTTCTCATAACCATTACCTTTTTACCTAATTCTTTAAACATTTTTACAAGAGCCAAGTAATTTCATTTCAACATTTTTCTAACATTCATCCATTTTATAAAACATTCCTAATGATAGAAAAAAGAAATAAGAACAATCCAATCTTCTTCCAGCGTCCCTTCCTCCTGGTCCCGGGTTTGTCAGTCCTTTTTATCCCATTAGTCTGGCACATTAACCTGGTGATCTTATATCCGAGGCCTTCAAGTCTCTTCCATGTCCCTTCCACAGCTCTTCTTCATATTTTCCTTTCACTCATGGGAACTCCAGCTTGGTAGTGTTTTTAACCCTTTTCAACAAATCAGCCCCTTTCCCATAGTTCAGACTAGACTCCATGTGGTATTTTAAGACATGTTTCAAATTCCCTCCAAAATTGGGAGCCCCCACAGCTCCAAACATCTGACGGCCCATTGCCAGACTCGGAAAGTCCAAACATCTCTGCATGGGGGGGGTCAATCCAACCCCCCATTTCCAAATCAATCCAAACTTTATCTTTCCAAATCTGGTTTTTTCCAAGTTCATTTGTCAAATTCAAAGGCTCATTTTCCTGCAGGGCCAAAAGTTCCTCCCTTTCTGGCGCCCAAGATTCAGCAACATCCTCTTCTCTCAACTGTTCTGTTTCGCTCCACGGAAAAAGCAATTGACTCACAGTACCGCGCCACTTCCCCCTCTTCGCTTCGGAGCCCGTTAGTGGGTTCCTTTGCGGGTTGGGGGGGGGCGCTAAGGGTGCCTGCCGAGTCCCACGGTCACAGGCTTCATCCGCCTGTGATTTCTAAAAGGGTCCCCGCTTTGCCGCAGCGGAAAAGACCCGTTTCGCGCGGAGCTGGTCCCTCCAGTTCAGAGGGAGTCCGCCATTGCCGATGGCGCCACCCCGGAAGTTGCAAGTTTCAATCCTTCATCCTACAAATGAAGGGACAAAGGAAGATGTGGGAAACCTGTGGTCCTCTAGAAGTTGTTGGATTCCAACTCCCATCAGTCCTGGCCACCATGGCCCAAGGTCAGGGATAATGAGAGCTTAGCAGCATCCAGAGGGCCACATATACACCATCCCTAATTTATATGTACAAAGAAAAGAAATTCTGAATGTTAGAAGTAAGCTTTCCACTTTGAAAAATCTCTTAAGGCTCTCTTGAATTGTCACTTATCCAACAGCACAGATGTAACAAGGTTTATTTTAACTGGCAAAATAGCAGAAGTCTGGGGAAATGTTTTGCATTTGGAGCCAACAATTCAGTGTCTGTACATCCATGGTGGAAAATTGCTCGATAGAATGAAAGTACTCTAGAGAGAGAATTGTATCTTTTTTCCAAACTAATTAACAAAATTAGTTACAAAGTGTTAATGAGCTGACAAAAAAACCTTCCCAGTGTAGTAAAAGTGAAGTGTTTTGATGTTAACACACTTTCCTCATTTGCATTCTTAAATGCAAGGAACATTGTTTAGGTAAGCAGTGAAGGTGAGACTGACTAAAACAGAAAAACTGGTGATCCGTAATCGAAATGTCATGCTCAAAGCGGGAGAGGTGGCTCATCTGTAAGTGATGGAACTTAGAAGTTCTCCAGATAAAATGCATCCAGTATTAAAAGAGCCAAAGTTTACTTGAGTTACTTAAGGGATTCATCTCTATTTACAAAGCACAAAGACTTTGTAAATAATGTTCAAACCAACCTTAGAGCTATCAGGATCCAGGTAACATTTTTAAGAAGCATCAGCAGAAATGTAGATATTCAAGATATGATTAAAAGTTAAGGACACTGGATTGTAACCATTTCATTTCTACTCAAATTACACCTATGAAAATCTATATCCATTCACTTCAATAGGTTGACTCTGAGTATGACTGGCATTGAATACAACCATAAGCTCAGATCACTCAAAGACTGAGCAATGACAGTTGGGAGTGGACAGCCCTAGGAGGTAGATATTTGATTAACTGCCCATGACTGGGTTGGGAAGATGAACCCTATAATTTTTTTTAATGTATGCTATCACTAGCATGCCATCATTTTGGCCCAGATGGTGAGCTTAACAAGCTGCCAGGATCTAGAGCTTTGTGAGTATCACTGTGACTCTCAGAATCAAGGGAAATGAAATTCTGATATGCTGAGAAGCACCTCTAACCTTGTGTCAGCTTGCAGCCTGAATGACAGCTGCTGAATCTGCGCTATATAGGCAGGGTGGATGGCAGAACAGAATAGCAGGCAAAACCTAATCCTCACAGTTAAACCTTCAGCCTCCTGTGACATATGAAGCACTTCTTAGCATACAGGAACAACAGCTATATGGAAGCCTGAGAGCACATTCAAAAACCTTATTCTGTTATTCAAGTGGCACTATCTACTGATAACAGGCAAGAACATCTGACATGCTGTGCCTGTTGATCTTTCAGATAAACAAGGCGAAGCCTCCTCAGTGGAAAATGACCCTTCTAAATATCTGTGACCTCATCAGCAACATAAACAACCAGGAAGAGGATGTGGGTGATGTTGAAGAAGAAGACCTCCTGTCAAGAAGACAGTTTCCCTCTACTCTTGATGGCTCTAGTTTGGAAGCATTGTTGACGTTGTACCAGCTTCAGAAAGTCTGCCACAGCAGAACCTTTCAGCACTGGGAGGTAAGTCAAATCATGCTGGGAACCCAAGTTTTGCTTTACTTTGATCATATTACTATGAAAAAACATTTTTATTCATACAGTGCACAGATGAAATTATTTGTGTGTTTTTTAATGTTAAACAACAACTGATGAACTTCTTTTACCGGTCCACAATAGAAAGTGTCCTTTCATATTGTATCACAGTGTGGTATGCTGGCCTGACAGCCACAGACAGAAAGTCTCTACAGAGGGTGGTGAATAAAGCACATGGTATCATGGGCTGTCCCCTGAGTCCGCTAGATGACATCGCAAGGGATTGTTGCCTTAGGAGAGTGAGAAAAATTCTCAGGGATGACTCACACCATAGCCATCACCTCTTTAATCTTCTACCCTTGGGCAGGAGATATAGAAGTATAATCAACCGTACCAACAGGATAAAAAATAGCTTCTATCTGTGGACTGTTAGGCTGTTGAACAAAAAATAACATAGTGAAATTGACTTGTGAGGTGGTGTGTTGTTTGATAAGAGATTGAGTGCTTGGGGGTGGGGAGGGAGGCTCATTTAATTTCATTGTACACAGGCTGTACAATGACAAGAAAGGTATTATTATTCTTTTCCAGTTAGCAAGGTATTGAATGAAGACCGCCCATAGTTTAACAGGTCTTCAGGCTGGTATTTTTATTCCTTGATTAGGAATGTCATAGATTTATTCCTAAATGATGAAGGAAATTGTATTGGACCCAGTCTTGCCCTTAAACCTCAGAGTCTGACTTCTGAAGCACAGTATGCTAAGTAATACTTTAAAAGACAAGGCATTAAAAAAGTATGAAGTCCCATCTCCTTGACTACTGCAAATCCCCAACTAGTTCCCATACATCTAGAAATAGATGGAAAGAGTTCAAAAGGAGAGGGAGTGCAGGTAACATCCAGTCAGTCTTTATTTCTGCATGCAATACTTTTCTGATCCTTAGGACACGAAGGGTATTATTTTATTATTATTCATTTCACTTCTATACAGCTTTCTATTTTTAAGGGGGGAGGGAATCTCAAAGCAGTTTACAAGACTTTAAAACATCAAATAGAACAATCCAGAATAAAACATTCAAATATTGGAAGTAAGTCAGATATAAATTATACATTCGAAACAACACAATTAACAGGAAACTAAAATATTTTCTTAAATATTTCAAATGATTTCTCCAGTTGGAGTTGGGGGGGATCCCTATTGGGTAACGGGAGTTGTTGGGGAAAGTTGGTGTAATTGTTCACTCATGTTGACAATTCTATAGTAATTGATTAGCTCATATTACACGGTATTAACTTTAGGCAGCATAGATGATAGATGATAGATAGATAGATGATAGATAGATATGATTCAGATGTGCTCCTCTCACTAAAAATCCATAGGAAAACAATGATTCCATATTATCTTGTTATTACCAACAGTTACTTCAGCAAGATGTTTATGACCCTGAAAATGCAAGCCAAGATAAAGATCTGATGAAGAGGAAAACTCCTTACATTCTGAAACGGCAACTGCACGTCAACAAAGCCCGACGACCATACATACTGAAGAGGAGTTCATATTACTGACTCAGCAGTTAAAGTAGTGTTTATTTAGTTTCTAAGTAACTGTGCTTTATGGTTACCTTATTTCAACCTTAAATCTTATTTGTGTGGAAAATAGATTATGGAAAGTGACTGTGTCTTTCTTGCCACTGTTGTTTCTTGGTTGTGATTTTTTCCTACTTAAAATTCATTGGAATAATACATTTGAAAATAAATCTAGTTTCTAAGCATTATGCATTGTACACCACTGAGAATTTTGAAGAGTTGGCAACATTGTTTACTCTGTGATACACAATCCTTTCAGCAAGTAGAAGAGCATAGTTGTATAAAGCTTTTCAAGGATATTTCATAATTCAAGCCATGTTGAATTATCCATAGTTATTACACAAGTAAATTGCAGTATAAAACATTTTGACATTCATGATGATGAGTTATTCCATCAGTTACTATAGAAAGCTTATTAATAAATTCATAACACCCAAATGCATTTTTATCGTCCATTCTAGCTCAAACTGATTCAGAAAATGAAGGACAAAGCCTTCATTATATACACCTTAAATCCCAGACAAATCAGGGGGATTGACAGCACAATCCTATGTTCAGAAGTAAATCCCATTCTATCCATTGGGGCTGGATGCAAAGGATTGGAGTCTTTATGACACAATTAAAGCTCCAATCCTTTACTCATTTTCTTGGGGGCAAAGATGGAAATAGCTGTCAATTTCAGTTCTATCCATTTCTCATTTTCCCCCCAATCTAAAATTCAGTTCTCCACATTTCTGCACCAATTTCCATTTTCTGTCTCTAAAAAAATCCTCATGAAATTTTATCAGCATTTTTTGTATGAATGTCTCCTAACACAGAAATGTATGTATGCAGTTCTAACTAACATACACAGTGTTGTAAGTAGTTTATCCTAATATAATGCATTTTGTACGATATTTTCACAAATAGCCTCATCTTTAGGCACACTTTCCCCTAATATATACCTTAGAGAAATATTATTTGGTCAGAGAACTGCATCACATAATTCAGATACATGCACATTTCAAAGGATAGCTGTGCTTTTGTTCTCATATTGTTTCAGAAAGTGTGGACTTTGATAGATTTGGCTTTCAATGATAACTGAATTGAATTTTCTTCCCCAGCCCTACTTTGGAGTAAGTGCCATTGAACTCAGTGTGACTTACTTCTGCAATGACATGCCTTGGATTGTACTGTGAATTTATAAGGGACACTTAACTGTCTTAGGATCACTATCTCCTATGCACTAGAACCCAATGGACACAGTTTGGAAATGAATATTGTCAACTGGTTTGGAGAGCAAAAAGTATGGGGCTGGGCTTGATTTCTTAACTGGAAGCTACACTGATTGCTTTGATATGGAAATTGATAGGATAGGTTATAAAGTGCTTCAGGTGCTCCATTTTACTGAACTCGTATGGCTAGGATATTATAGGATATGATTTTAAGTTATAGAGAACTCTTCATCAGGCATGAAGTGAATATTCACTTCATGAAGTGAAAGAAGAGTGAAACTGGATGTGAAACTTCCTGCAAAGTGGGAAGAGTATAAAGGTTCACTAATGTGGGGGAACTCAAGGGCAAATCCTTACTCAGTCTTTAAGCTCATTAGGTATCGTCGAACCAGTTGCTATCATTCAGCTTAACCTACCCTCACAGAGGGCATAGAATACAAATTTCATACTGATAATGTAATTTTTTAAATATAAAAACACATTTTTAGCAAATGAAAGGTGCTAAAATGTTTTCAAAAACCTAATGAGACTCATACATTCACTAAAATTGGATTATACTTAGAATTCCTGAAAGCAGAACTATCACCAGACCATATGCCAAGATAAAGTAAGCACTTTTAATACCACACTGATCAATCAAAGCATCAGTATCGGACTGATAACAGCTCTGCATGTTCTCAGGCTGTGGTTCCTCTCACCATCTGCTGCCTTTCAAGTGGAGATACCAGCACTGGAACCTGGGAATTTCTTCGTGAAAAACAAATTATTTTCACCAAGCTATGAATGAGAGATGGGGAATCAATGGTCCTGCTAGACTACCACTCCCATCTTAACTGGCCATGTTGACTGGGGCTGATGAGAGCTGGAGCCCACCACCATCTGGAAGGTCACAGGTTCTCACTCCTTCCATGAGCCCTTCCCAGCTCAAAATATGATAAGACTTTTTGAACTGCAGGTCTTTGTATTTTGAATACCCTCCCTACAAATTTACCCCATCACTAGCCCTTATTAGTGCAGGTTCTGAAGGTTCCAAAAAGGTTGGAAAGCCAGTGAAACATTCTAGGCAGAAAACAAATGGTAGATAACGTAAAGGAAATCCCAGTGGCACAGGGAAGCAGCAAGTAGAAATGATGATGGATACAAGAGTGAATGGATGCTTGTGTTACATACATGCCCACTGAAAGTGAGAGATAAAATGAAGTCCATTGGGAATTGGACTGGAAAGAAGGAAGATGTAATATCACAATGCTACCAAAGCCTTCACAATTGGTCTGTGAGTTCCTTTCTTATTTCATGCTGGTAGGATATCATAAGCATAGGAGCTTTAAGATTAGGATTGTCAAGAGACATTGCAATATTTATTTTATTTACAAAAAAGCATATGCCATTATTTCATAAATAAATATCAAATAATCAAAAATAATACATAAAACCACACAACACAACAATATAAAAGGTTAAGATAAGAATGCAATTTACTATTGTGGAAATATGTATTTTTAGTTACCTGCTGAGGCATGGGAGAATAGAAGAGTTTTGAGCAGGCATATAAAATACGAAATAGAAGGTACATGACATCTTAACGACTTCCACCAATAAAACCAAGATTTTAGTTTGATATTGCGTGACCAAGCCATGATAGCCCCAGCCCCCAGGGATCATAAGAAAGGAATAAACACTCTGATGTGTTATGGAATTAAAATTAGGCCACAGCTTTATTAAACTTCCGAATGTAGGAAGACCTTGGCTTAGGCTGTGGGCATGTATCCCTCCCAGTCCCCCAGCTGGGGGAACTGGGGCACATCAGGGTAAATTTAACAGAACCACCTTTGCCATTGGGGCATTGTAAAGACCCCAAGATCTCCTGCAACAATTTTGCAAAGTTTTTTGCAGATAAAGTCGCTCAGATTTGGAAGGAGGTAGACACCAGCATGGGAGCAGGGCCGGGGCGGGAGAGTGCTAGAACCCTGTCTGGTTGAGTTGCATGGAATCAATTTCAATCCGTTACCCCTGAGGATATGGACAGGCTGCTTGGACGCGTGAAACCAACTGTCTCCTTGATCCTTGCCCATCCTGGCTAATAAAAGCAAGCCAGGAAGAGCTGGGCGATGGGCCCTGCGGGGTGGTGAATGCTTCACTCCATGAGGGAGTGTTCCCAGACCTGCTGAAAGAGGCAGTCATTAAACCGCTTCTTAAAAAAAACAACTTTAGACCCAGCCAGTTTGGCCAACTATTGCCCAGTCTCAAATCTTCCATTCTTGGGCAAGGTGATTGAGTGGGTGGTTGTTGAACAACTCCAGGCATGCCTGGAGGATGTGGACCATATGGATCCCTTCCAATTCAGGCCTCATCATGGGACTGATGATCCCCGGCGGGCTAGGGACAAAAGTGAGAGCTATTTCCTAGTTTTGCTGGATCTCTCAGCAGCTTTTGATACAATCGACCATAACATCCTTCTGGACCGTCTAGAGGAGCTGGAAGCTGGGGGCACTGTTATACAGTGTTTCTGCTCCTTCTTCCTGGGCCATGTCCAGAAAGTGGTGGGGGGGGGATGAGTGTTCAGACCCTTGGGCCCTCACATGTGTGGTGCCTCAGGGTTCTGTCCTCTCCCTCATGATTTTTAACATCTACATGAAGCTGCTGGGAGATATCATCAGGGGGTTTGGGCTGAGTGTCCACCAATATGTGGATGATACCCAGCTCTACCTATCTTTTAAATCAGAACCAGTGAAGGCAGTAAAGTCCTGTGTGAGTACCTGGAGGCAGTTGGAGGATGGATGGTGGCTAATGGATTGAGATTGAATCCTGACAAGACAGAAGTACTGTTCTATGCAGCCTACAGTATGTTTAAAACACCTTATCCCCCAATGACTCTTGCAAACTTCACAGAGCTACAATTCCTAGCACACTTAAGAAATTAATGTTCCTGGAATTCTTTTTTTTTGGAGGGGGGGGTTGTGTGCTTTAAATAGTTTTAAATGTATGGTGTTGTATGCAGCCAAAATCAAAACAACTCCCTGGCTTGCCTCTGAGCTGCTTGCTTAGAATAAATTTACATCTCAGCAGGCAGCAATTTAACACTGCACTTTCACTCTTCAGATTTTCATAGGGAAACTTACTCCCTCTGGTCAGAGTTCTACTATGCCTCAGTATCGTTTGCTGTAGTTCTATTAGATTTTCCCCTCAGTAAATGAAAGAGGACTTTACAGTTCTGTGAGCACATGTTGAAGCTCAAACCAAACCCTTACACTGAACAGAAAGCAGTGAGTAAGCTCACAGACCCATCCTCTATGGATCTCTAATCCTCTTTTAAAGCTATCCAAGTTGGTGAATATCATCACATCTTGTACTAATAAATGCTGTAACTTAATAATAGTGTCTGAAGAGGCACTTTCTTTTGCCTGTCCTGAACCTACTATCCACCATTCTCTCTGAATTATAATAGAACGAGAGAGGGAGGTGAAAATGTTACCAAGTCAACTTTCGCCATGAGATGCATCATTTGCAGAACAGAGCTGAGAGGAAGACAGACTGAAGATGCAATGCTTTGGAAGTTAAATCAACCACAACTTTATTACAAAGCTCTAAAAAAGCTATTATAAACAGTGTGTCACAGGGTAGGTGAGCTTATTTCATTTTCTTTGTGAATCGGCGTCTGTCACTTGATAACAGAAACCCCAAATTCTATCATTTAAATGTCATTCAGTTTTAAATGTTCTGTGACTACTTTAAAGGAATTTTCTACTTTCGACCAGAGTAATGTGG